ATTAGTATTAATGTGAAGCTAGTATTAATTTAAGTTACTTTTTTTCCTAAAATAATATTTAATATTAGCCTGATTCCACTTCCAGTGAAGACAGCTGGATTATTTTTACTTGTTTCAGTAATTTTCAGTAAAGAGCTGATTCTTTGTTGCACATAAATTATTTTTCTCAAGTGGTACAACTAATCCATCAGAGTTGCTTGCCCATGGGATTCAATTATTCATGCCTGAATAAAACTTCTACAAAAATGGTGTTAGCATGAAGGGCTCCAGAAGTCTTTCTCGTGCTCACTAAATGTTCTGTCTGCAATGCAGACCTCACGCTCCTTAACAGAATTGAGAGCTAAATGCATTTTCAAGCTTTGCTGGAACTACTGGAGGGAGTAATGAGCAAAAGAAAGATATGACACTTTCTGTTTCCTCTTCCTCTGCATTAATATTTTGGACTATAGCAATTTTAATATAACAAATTTATTTTATTTAAGTGCGTTAATAAGCTACTTGGTCAAGGAACTAGAGAACAGAATACAGCACATGGCCACCTTAATTGTTATTAATTCAAGCCACAGGCAAAAATAGTATATGTAGCTAATTTTAGCCATATTTGAGTGAATCCTTTTTCAGCCCAACATTTTAACATAGATGAATGTATTTTGCTGAATAAAACTAGACTTGAACATGCCATTATCTTAAATATATACCTAAGCAGGTTGCACAGCTATGGCCCAAAGATGTTGCTTGGTTTATTCAATGGTTAATGTTTTAGTAGGTCAGAGCCTCGGAACTCTTGGAAAATACTTCATCAATTGCATCCATTATCGAATGCATATCCATGAAGTAGAAGGTGGAAGTACAGCTGATCACATGGATTTGCTATATGAAATTAAAGGTTCAAAGTGTGATTTAAAATTTTACCTTCATTATTTTCCTCTTCTAGTACCTCCCTCTAAATCATATATTGAATGCAGAGCGGCATAACAAAGAACAGACCATCTCTCCAAAAGTCTTTCATCAAGTTGGTATCACTTTACAAAGAAGTAGCAGAAATAAACTAGATCAGTAGAAAGATTATTTCACTGATCAAATTTTACACAGCTTATTATACATAAGACAGTGGTACCTATCTAAGAAAGTGGTGAAACTCCTGGCTGTTCATAACCCAGCATTTTTAATTGGTTATGTATTGGGCAATATTTGTCATATATTGCTAACAACAGAAGAAGATGCATCCCTGACACAAAATCTAGGCCTGTTCAAAGATAAAAAAAAAATAAAAAATTAAGGAAATAAATATTTAAATAAAATTAATTATGAATGAAAAAACACCTACTTTTTCTAAAATCCCTCTTTTCTTTTTTTTTTAGACTAAAAAGTAGCTTCCTTTGCCTGTGGGGTTTGATTTCAGACTGAAACAAATAGCCAGCATAGATTACTTCAGCCAAAATTCTTAGAGCTTTGGAAAACTTGCAACCGAACTGAAACTCAATTTGACTTGAAAAGTAATAATCAAACTTAGTAATAGACTGTGCTGTCAGCTGCCAGCTTTGCCCATAATTTCTGAGCAGAGACTCTGGCAAGTATTAAAATGTTGACAGCAAAGGCACAAGGATATATGCAACTTTAAAAATTATTGCCTGAGTAATATATGCAGCGTACAAAAATTTATCCTTGATGTAAAAAATTACTTTTGAAGGAAGTATTAGTATTGCTTCTCATCAGTACTGGCGTATCAATAAAATGGCAACATAACACAGCCTCATATGAGATTGACTTCTAGTGTCCAGCATATAAATGTAGAGAAGAACTCCATTAAGCTTGCAAAAACAAAGCTGACACCTTTGAATATATAAGTCCTTGTGTTGTTTCCTAAGGAGCTACTAGAAGTTAAATTACTATTTCAGCTTTAGAGTGAAAAGGTGCCAAAAGAAGAATGATGCTAACAGGCTTTTTGTTTGTTTGGTTGGTTTTTTTGTTGTTTTTGTTTAAACCCTGCAAAAGACAAAAATAGCAATAAAATCCAGTTATATCTAATACAATAACCTTGCATAAATATTCTCTAGTATGATCAGCAGCTGTATGTGAAGTGCTCTGTACTGCTATGCTACAGAAGCATTTCTACATCTTTAGGCCCCTAGCAAACAAGCAGAAGAACAAGAAGGCTCTACAACTATTGCCCAGGATGAAATACAGCAGAGACCTTCTGCATCTCTAGCATGACTGCCACACCAGGAAAACAGGTAGGTGCCCCTGGATGAATCGTGCAGTGCATGAGCCTGAATGCACACAAAGGTTCAGTGCAGACCAAGCAACACACCTGCACATAGAAAATTCAGGGAAAGAACATGAAAAGATACGACAACAAAATCTTAAGCTTTTCATTGCACTTCAGAAGTTATTCAATGTGAAACTGGATGCACTCATATAATTCACACTGGAACTGTGCTGCTGAATAATGAGACATTGTTAGCTACAAGGTGACTGACTCATACTGGGTATTTTGTTGAAGTGAGAAGACAACTGCTGTGCTTGATAGGCCAAAGTACCATATGTTCCTAGAATAGCAAAGATCTACTTTATCCTTTGATTCACTGTCGAGGTCTAGTAACACCAGTCAAAAGTGGTTTGCTGGTTCAATAATCACAGTTCTGTTACTCTTAACGTCAGATGAGCTTTAAAGAGGCTGCATGTGACTAATGAGAAACCCTTTTTGTGCAGGTAAACCAGGATGTAACAGGGAACATGCATTGGAATCTGCAGCAAGTTCTCTGCCTCACGTGGCAAAACTGCAGAAGCCCTACCTGGCTACTGCAGGCAGCCCAAGTGCAAGGGCATGGGGCCCGACAGACCTGGCACTATCTGCTCTGCTGTCTCTCAGTTAAACTCTGTGCTTCCTCATTCAGGCGGTACTGAGAGAAGATCTTTCTTTTGCAGCTATGCTGGTACTCTGTAGGAAATCTGGCTCCCCAGTCACGGCTTGACTCACCATGACTTAATATTGTGTCTTGTGTGCATGCAGAACGCTTTGCTTGAGGAAAATAATCAGAACAAAATTACAGAATTCTGTGCTTACTTTGCCTCTTCTACAAAAAGTTCAAGACAAATGGTTATTTTAGGACAGTTGCTCTGATTTATCATCCTGTAACTGTGAGGTAAAGGAAAGGGATACTAGTATCTGATGACAACAGAAGCCAAGCAACTACTTTCCTTATGCTCTTCTGAAACACTAACGTACATTTCTCAACTAACTGAAAGCAGATGCTTTTAAACCGCAACTCAGGGAGATTTGGGTTTTGCTCTGTACAAATATTCCTCTGAGCTCCCTCTTATCACTATATATAAAAATCCAGTGGTTTATATATATACACATGCACAGACATATATAAAAGTTTCCAAATGCACGCATAAAGTGATAAAATTAACAGTGAGTAATCACATTTGAAACACTGGCCTGCAAAGAACTTGAGAATTTAATATAGATTGGGACAAGAATTAAGATTTACTTCCATATGCGAAGAACAAGCATGCAAGGAATTTTATCACCTGTGACAAAGGTCATAAACACAATGATTAAAATATTTTCAACTGATCTGGTAGATGTTCTTCATGGTTCTTACATTCACTGGTACTCAAAACTCAAATTAGAAGAGGCTTCAAAGATAAAATACAGTGTAAACTATTTATAAATGAAATAGTTATGTGAAGAGCTACTTTGTTTATCACATATAAACAGTTTAGATCATAAGGCACAGACAATATATATACTTCAAATTTCAGAACTGCCTAAAAGTCCCAAAGATACATTCTTACATTGACTAAAAATATGTCATCCTTTTGGCCAAGAGTTTTTCTGGTTTGCTAACAACAACCTCTTTTCTACATTTTCAGATTCCTTTGTAAACATTCAAAAAAGTTTCCAGTTAAATAAATTAATAAACATAGGAACAGCAAAAATGTATTTATTTGGCTCTTTTTTTACTAAAATGGTTGCTTTATTTTTATCCAAACCTTCAGCCTCTTAGCTCAAAACAAGCCTTGAAAACTTCAACACAACCAACAACATCCATCTTTAGGAAATCATTAGAACCAATGTTCAAAATTATTAAGGTGTTTCTGACATTCTATTCATATGTAGAAAATAAGCTTTCTTATTGCAACTAGTAACTACCTAGGTTTGCTTCTTTTCCCCCCTCTGTTGTGCATTTCAGTTGCTGACATCTAAAAGCACAGGTTCGACTCCCTAAATATGGCCCCACTCCCTAAGTATGTGATATGTAGCTCAAAGAACATTACAGCTTTCCATAATCATTAAATTGCTGGAGAAAGAAAAGCTGCAAGACAAACTTCATTACAGATTAATTACTTCTTCAAAATGGTTATATAGAATCCTCAGCACTGGCTGTTGGCAGAGGCCTCAGTGTACATTTTTCAACTCTTGTTTATGAGGAATCAAAATACGAAATTCTTTCTCTAATATGTACAACCTCCAATAACCTTATGCTGTTTGGCTTTCTGTACCCACAAATCTCTTCCTCCCCAGAGCTGGTGGGTATTTAAGGATAATACTCATCTATCTGGAAGCGTTTCCAGATTTTGCTTGTCCTTATTTCAATGGCAGATAAGAAAGACTAAGTCATGCATACAACATTACCAGGGAGCTTCCATTGGAAGTTGTTTTCCAACATGTTTGTTCACTTTTATTTTTTTAAATAAGTAAAACAGAATTTATAATTTTCAAATAAAATCATCACAGTAATTGAGAAAGACAGTAACATTTTAAAAAAATTTGAAACAAAGCCTAACTGCTGAGGATAGCTATTCCAATGACAAGAAGTAAAATCTATAGCTATCAAAACCACGGCAGCACAGTTTTTAATGCTGACACTTCTGCCAGCAAACTGCCATAAAAAGAAAGCTATTCATCTTCACCTGCTAGCCTCAAAACAAGACTTGTTTTCCTCAATACACCCACAAAGGATACAGGATTACTTTTCCAACTAAATTACCTGTCCCAGTGACCTCCAGTCTAGGCTGGCACTTCCAATGTACACGTGCTGTTTATCAACAATCCAGAAAGATGACTGAAGCCGACCTTCGTTATATGCTGACATGTTCATATACAACACTTCAGCACCTATGAGAAAAAAACAAATAGCATTGTTCAAAATAGCATAATTTGTATTAAAAAAAGAAACCGCTTTGCGTTTCAGGGCTTTGGCTTCCAAAACTAGTGAGGGATACAACAAAATATACCATTAAGATTTAAGATCAATAATGAACAGTGTTAATGTTGCACTGTTTAATACCTTAATTAACATACATTTCAGAAAAATGGGTATAGGGAACATTCCCATGCATTATACTATTCACTTAATTTTCTCCAGTTTTAGAACCAAATAATTGCTATTTTTTTCCCAACACTGTTTGTTCCTAAAACCAGTTTATTTTTAAAGGTCTCTTCTGTAACTGAAACCTGCTATGTATTTAAATAATGACCTTTGAAATAGGAACCCAGTTACAGCCCCATTCTGAAAATCAGACTCTCTTCCTGTGCAGTGGTTCGAGCAGGTAGCCTGTAGTTGCTGGCTGTTGCATGGAACAGACCCCTGACAAAAGGAACGTGAGTAGAGAATTAAGGAGTAAGGAAGTAAGCAAAGGCCTGAAATATATTTAAATTGCTCTTAATCTTGCTAATCTGGGACCTTCAACCAACCACTTTGAATTGTGTGGTTTTAATAAGGATTATAGGCCATAGGAACTACTTGTTGGTTAAAAACATGTTGTCTTCATCACATCAGTAGGAACATCTGAATCAGCCCCACCAGTATGTTTGCAGGACTAAATCCAGAATACAGTTAATATTAGGGAAGTTTAGGATATTTCTCACATTGTTAATCTTCTTTCAGTGCTCCAGTGCTTGTCAGATTAGGTGAGTAATCCAAATTAATAATTGTTGAAGCTAATTTAGAGTAACCTACTCATCCTCACATTTTAGTCATGACAGTAACTGGGGAAGAGAAGTCACAGTAAAGAGCAGCTGGAGGGCAGTAATGGTACTAGCCACCTCCCATTAAACATTCATGGGTTCTTCAGTACCATGAATTCTAGTAGTAGTTGATTATGAGTCACAACTTCAAAAGAATTCCAGGATAACTAGAGAACTAAAACATGTAAATACATTTCTTTTCATCTAAGTTCCTATTTCTGATCTTCTAATAAACACATTACTTGCCATTTTAAGCAACAGCTACCAGGGCTAAATATTCTTTTTTACAATTAAATCTGTAATTCCCACTTGAATTAATGATTCTAGAAGTTCAAACATCAAAAAATAAGAAGAGAAAGAACTATCGGGTAAACCAACACTTTTCATGAAATATGCAACACAGGATTTTGAGCAAGTGACAGAATTTGATTCACTGTACACTTATATCTGCTGCAAACTTTCCAATCTAGATATCACCCATCCACATTCATCTGTGCTTAGACACAATTGAATTTTCCAATCTTCCTTAGAACATGTTACTTTCAATCCAAGCATTAATAAGCAGAACTGTGATAATTAATGAGGTAATGTGTGTGAAATGGAAAATAAATCAGAAAACACTATAGGAGGTGTTAAATGGTTTTAAATGTTTTCTGATGAACAAACAAAACAAAACAATTCCTCCTGCTAGCTAAGGAAACAATTCTGCAAGGTGCTAAACTTTCAGCTGCTTACAAGAAAACCCTGTTTAAAGTTTAACATAGCATTTTGCTTTGATCATATTTTCTTTCCATACATCTGATTTGCAGCATTATATAGAATGTCAATTTAACACCCACAACCCACCTACATAAAACAGGCTATAAATGAAATACTAGGATTTTTTTATAGGAAAGGTAAAACTGTCAGAAGGAACAATGAGCTTGCTTCTTGTTACTGAGAAGCTAAAATAAACACAGTTTAAAAACATTTTTTAAATATCCAATGAAAAAAAAATTAAATAAATTGTGGTTGCTGAAATTAGAACAGGAAACTATTTAAACAGTAATGCTAACATAAGAAATAGCAGACATTGTCAGTAACCTGACACAAAATTCAAAAGATGCCAGGATTTGTGGGCAGTTCAGACTTGGGCAGAAGAAGTGGGATGGGACTATCACTCTAAAATATAACCCAGGCTTCAATTACCAAAATACTACATATAGCAGTGCAGGAGAAACTACTATCACACATACTATTAAAATTAAAACCTGGAACCTAATTCCTTTTTCTTCTGGAAAAGCCAACTCATGAGGCTGAGGAAACAGTATCTCCAAGTTAATTAAAAGAAAGTAACATGTTGGAAGCAGCAGCTGTTGTGCAGCCTATTAATGAGCCCTTAACTTTTGATGAAAGGAAACATGCATTTGTATTGATAATTGCCTCTGTTTTAGAAGCCCTTGAGATGTTTTTGTTAAAATAGGCTTATCAGGCCTTCAACACAACCCAGCAGTCCTAGCGTGGTCCACATCCCATGAGGAAGTGGACTGATCAATATGTGAAGTCCTAACAGAAGTCTTTACCGTGCTACAGTCTCAATTACACAAAGCTCTTGGTCTACTGAATTCAATCAGAAGGCATAATTTGTAGGCTAGATTGCTAATACAGATGCCAGACTCTCAAAAATTAAATCTAACAGTTTTGTTTCACTAAAGATTAAACTGCAGGGTGAGATCTTAGAGAAAACCAGCATTGCCACTTAAAACCCAAGTGAATTTGCCTGTCCCATAAAATTGTGCATTCTAAAGGTTGGGCCAGGTTGCACTCTTTCTGCACGAAGATCCCTGTAGGGATCAAAGCGTGTTTTAAGTAACAGACACAGAGGGAACCCTGCCCTTGAGACTCTGGACCTTCCCCACATGATGGGAACACAGGCCCTGGGAGGTAATAGGCTGCTGCCCAACCTCTTGCTTTGTCTCATAATGGAGGACAACAAGAGAAAAGAATAGCAGTACTGCAAAAAAAACGACTTTTCATCAATTTTCAAAAGAAAACCAATTCCCAAAGCGATCTTGTGCCAAAGGAGGATACAAGAAATTGCCATTTACCATTTCTAGCCTTGCAACCTCTTGCTTGATCCAGTTGCCTGCTTCCAGGCACTCTACTAATGATGTCATGAAAGCCACAGAGCAAACTTGGCTTCAAGAACAGGAGTGTAAAGCTAGGACCTTTACTATGCATTTGAGTCAAAACACAGTAAGCAGTTAGCAGGAGACTTTACACATACACACTACAATGATGAAGGGTCATGCATGGAGAAATACACCTTGGCACAGCTGTGTTGCAGCATGTGCTACCTCTGGATGTTATTGCTGCTCAAGCAAGGTCACCAGGCAGCTACACAAACTGGGAGACTTCTTCATCGTAGACTGCAGGAGGACAGGGCTCGTGGGGTTGCCACTCAGCCTCCAGATCTAGATCTATGCAACAATCTGCAGAAGGTGCACCAGGAGGCTTTGGATCCAAAGCCTGCAAGCAGCCTACGATATTACCAGGTTGTCCTGGTACAGAAGCAACAACACTGAGCTCAACTACCTCTCTGGTGGATACGATATATTTATTTTTTTTTATAAGAACCAGAAAGAGCAAATGTTTGGGCTGCTATTATCACAGCTGCCTTAAGGCAAACACACAAATTCTGGCTGCAACAGTTTTCAACAGCACCAGTTACAGGCTAAACTTGCTCTGAAGTCAGCAAACATAACGCCCAAGAAACAGAAGCTGCATTTGCTTGTACTACCGCTAAAATTGGCCTTCTGTCTTCACAACTTTCACTATAGTGTTTTCAAAACAAGAGAGAAATCAAAATGGGAAAGGGGAAAGACTTGACTGAGAGGAGAGCCAGACAGAGGTATCTAGGCAGCTGCTGCAACAGTCGTCTGTAATTTGAATCACAGAATCTTAAGAGGTCAGAAGGGACCTTTAAAGATCATCTAGTCCAAGCCCCCTGCCAGAGCAGGATCACCTAGAGCACATCACACAGGAATGTGTCCAGGTATGTTTTGAATGTCTCCAGCGAAGAAGACTCCACAACCTCTCTGGGCAGCCTGTTCCAGTGCTCTGTCATTCTCACAGTAAAGAAGTTTTTTCTGATGTTTGCATGGAACCTCCTATGTTCCACTTTGCACCCATTGCCCCTTGTCCTATCACTAGACATCACTGAAAAAAGCCTGGCTCCGTCCTCCTGACACTCGCCCTTAACATTTTTGTAGACATGGATGAGGTCGCTCCTCAAGTCTCCTCCAAACTAAAGAGACCCAGCTCCCTCAGCCTTTCCTCATAAGGAAATGTTCCACTCCCTTAATCATCTTTGTGGCTCTGCACTGGACTCTTTCAAGCAGTTCCTGTCCTTCTTGAACTGAGGGGCCCAGAACTGGACACAATATTCCAGATGAGGCCTCAAGAAGGCAGAATAGAGGGGAAGGAGAACCTCCCTTGACCTACTAACCACGCCCTTTCTAATGCACCCTAGGATGCCATTGGTCTTCTTGGCCACAAGAGCACATTGCTGGCTCATGTATGAGCACGGCCAGTATATATTTGCAGTTTGAACCTGACAAATGCTCCGGCATCACATCCAATCCATGGTGGATCTTCCAGCCACCATTTCCCACGTTACCACCAAGCTTGCCACAGTAAGAACAGCTGCCCTCCTCTGCTTACTCCATTCTTGCTGTCCCTTAGTCTCCTTATCACCATTACATACCCTTTGCTCACAGTACAGTTTTTTTCCCCCTCTCCTAATTCTGTGTATTCCCAAGCAAATACTTCAAGTAATGAGACTTCTAAAAAGGAGTCTGAGAATGCAAGCTGTGGCCACTCTGCTTCACCCAACTGCTGACAGTCACTTGGCATAGAAAGATTACACGTTTTGGGCTATACCTTTTGGAGGCTGGCCTCAAGCCAGAGTCAAGAAAAGAACTAACTAGTCCATACCATGAAACCTAGAGCTCACAAGTGCATGCACACTTCAGCACAGCTGGTGCTCAAGCAGTCTACACAATATCTTGCACAGACTCTTTGGGGAGCTACCGCATGTAGGTGGGAGGCAGCACGCACAGCCCTTGCCATTGTGCCATAGATCTGCTCTATTCTTTCATCTAAACTGA